ATCGAAATAAGTGCTGTTGGTGTGTTATGGCATACACCCGAAAAAAGACCACAAGGAAAATCAGATTCAGTGTTACGCAATGTTATTTCTGGGTACGAATTAGTGGTTTTTATATTTCATTCTCTATAACATCTGTACTTGTTCAGAGTCAAATGTCAGTGCATGATGTTACCTCCATGACTAAATCCCCCTCAAAATAAAAATATTCTTTAAAGACTGGTAATGTGCTTAGGATGGTTTGGATAGTGGGGAGAGGTCAGTCTGGAGGGGCGTCACAGGAGTCCAGCTAGAGTAACCGAGGACTGTGGATTGTGGTAGTCGCGAAAGGTTTACGTCTATGCGGATGTTCTGAATGGAAATGCACGCAGCAGTTCTGTGAAAACGTGCACATCCTCTCCAGACTGCGTTGGGCAGTTTTATAGCAGGTGCTGACCGCTTCTGGTTGGCGGCCTCTCCCAGGCAGCCTGCCACCTCTGATCGTGTATGGACGCGAAGATTCAGAATTCTGCTCCACCTCCCAGCTGGGGCCCCTGGCCACCCTCGAGGTGCAGGTTGTCTACCTTGACCATGATGAGCCACCTGCACCCAGTCCTGTCTGGGACTCATGTTTCAAGTGCTGTGCCAAAGGTAGCTTATCTGCTGCGGCTGCTCCTTTGAACGTTTCAGTATTGGCTGCGCGTTGTTGAAGCACAGGTCCTTTGCTGGTACATCATCTGTTAAGGTGTAAGGGAAGAATCTTCATTCCAAGCTAGTTGAAGTAAAGTGGGCTTTACCACACTGGGCATTCCTGATATCTGACTTTGGATATGAGCAGATCCAGGTTCTTAAAGATCCTTAATCATAGTCTCTCTTTTTGTTTTTTTATTCGGCATATTACGGGGTACAGATATATATAGGTTCCAATAAATGCCCATTTCCCCCTCCCCCCCATATGTCTCTTTCATCTCTGACTTTGCTTTTCTCTTTTGGAACTGTTCTCTGATATCTCTCCACAAAGCAGGAACATGGCTTCCAGCCCACTCCAGGGGCATGGTTCCTTAACCCTTTGTTATCTCAGAAAGAAACTCCACCTGACATGGCAATGGCATAGTTAATACTCAAGGAAAGGACCATGATTGGCCTTGCCTAAATAATACTTCTTTCATACCTTCGACCAATGTGTGTCAGGGATTAAAGGTCCTGGACAATTTGGATGATATAATGTAACCTCTTTCCAAGGAAGTAATGCCCCCACTGATTACACAGCCACAGCCATTTTACAAATTTTTATTATTTATCAACCCTAGGTTCAGAAGTTATGTATTTTGCCCAAGGTTACATAGCTATTAAGAAGTAGAGTTAGGGCGGGGTGCGGTGGCTCACGCCTGTAATCCTAGCACTCTAGGAGGCTGTGGTGGGCAGATTGCTCAAGGTCAGGAGTTCAAACCAGCCTGAGCAAGAGCGAGACCCTGTCTCTACTAAAAATAGAAAGAAATTAATTGGCCAACTGATATATATAGAAAAAATTAGCCGGGCATGGTGGCGCATGCCTGTAGTCTCAGGTACTCGGGAGGCTGAGGCAGTAGGATCGCTTGAGCCCAGGAGTTTGAGGTTGCTGTGAGCTAGGCTGACGCCACAGCACTCATTCTAGCCTGGACAACAAAGCGAGACTCTCTAAAAAAAAAAAAAAAAAGAAGTAGAGTTAGAATTTGAGCCAACATGTGCCCTGGCTGTTTATGCTGCCTCTTAGATGCCAGTGGTTGACCACACAACTTCAGATATATTCTGTATGTGTAAGGAAAGACCTTTTGGATCCTTTTGTCAATTAGTGGGAGCTGTTTGCTTGGGCTTCCATGAGTGCCTTGGGATATTATGCCTCCTGAGAAGCCCATTTATTTTTGGGGGGGTGGTGTGGAGATCAAGTTCCCGTTCATCTGATCTCCCTCATGGAACATGTAGTTTGTTAGGAATGAGTTACCTGTTGGGTTTTTTCCCCAATAGTCAATGAGAGTGAAGCTACAGCCGGCATCCAGCTCCAAGCTTCCTGCATTCAGTCCTTTGATGCCTCCAGCTGTGATATCTCAGATGCTGCTGCTTGACAATCCACATAAAGTATGTTCTGGTATCTTTGGTAGTAGGGAAATGGGGACCCCTAAACTATAGGGAGGTAACTTTGTGGGTGGAGAGAGCCACATTGAGGCCTTGCTGTATAGTCGCTGGTTTGGCTGGATGGGGCTGTGTGGAATATCCCTTGCTAGAGTCTATTTTCCTTTGGGGTTATTGAAAGATCTGTGATGGATTTGTCATAGCTGGGAATCAAGGGAGGGATGCATGAACTTTCCCTAATCCCATGGAGTCCGTTGAAAGGGTGAGGCCTGTCTTCCTTAACTGGTCTCTGAATTGCAGCCCATCTCAGGACTGCAGAAGTGTAGAAGGGCTCCCAGGATATGTGCCTGGCTCCTTGTGAGTGTAATCCCTAAGAGGCTAGGCCAGGGTGTGGTCCACGTCTTACAGTTGTTTGAAGTCCTCACTTGACTTGAATGAATACATTATCTCCTGTTTTTGGTGACTCCTGGGTGGGTGAAACCTTTTACTCTGGGTTGGCCTTTGGGTACTCCTCGCTAATTTAACATATCTCTTATGTCCCAGGAACCTATCCGGTTACGGTATAAGCTGACATTCAACCAAGGTGGGCAGCCTTTCAGTGAAGTAGGAGAAGTGAAAGACTTTCCAGACCTGGCTGTCTTGGGTGCAGCCTAACTTTTCACAAGATGGACCCTTCAGTTCAAGCTTAAGCCAGCGTTACTTTTGCTGTCTAGACTGGACTAATCACGGTGTTTTAGTGCACAGTGCCAAGAGTTCTATCCTGACATCAGGCTCTGGATGCCAACCTCTGACTTACTCTGCAGATGATACTGTGTGTGTGTGTGTGTGTGTGTGTGTGTGTGTGTGTGTGTGTGTGTGTGTGTGGTTGGGGGGGCGGTGAGCTAGGGTCGAGCAGGGTTTGACATGTGGGCAATGTGAGAAATGCCGAAGCATTTCTGATAATCATCTCTGCTACAATCATATCTGTTTCTGCATGTTAGTGGACACTGATGTCCCTGCCTCAGGTTGGAGGTTTTATAAGCCAAAGTTTTTTTTTGTA